AGACTTGGCTCCGTCCGATTATCACCTGTTCGCATCGCTAGGACACGCTCTCGCTAACCAACGCTTCGATTCGTATGAAAATGTGGAAAAATGGCTAGATAACTGGTTCGCTTCAAAAGATGAAAAGTTTTTTTGGCACGGCATTCATAAACTGCCAGAGAGGTGGGAAAAATGTGTTCAAAACAGTGGAAATTATTTTGAATAAAGTATTATTTATCACTTTCGAACAACAGACGTCTTATTTGTATAAAAAAATTCCGGTTTCATACTTCTACACCTGGTAAGTTGGTTTCTGGTATCATGAAGTAACTTTTTTAGGATGGCTATTGCATTTTTGTTTGTGTTCGGCCATTTTTTTTGTAATCTATATAATTGCGTTAGTAGATGGCTTTTAAATTTTTGTAATTTGGATATAGAGTTGTTTAAATAAGAGTCAACTGAATTTTTCTGAGTTATTTTGGGGACCGCTTTTTTAATAGCCATCAAAATATGATCGTTAATGTCCTCAAGATAACCATAAACTTCAGCAATAGATAAGTTTCGAACTGCAGAAATATTCAACAAACAATTATTGTTTAATACATCTGCGAGTTTAGTCCAATCGGCTTTGCGATAATTGAACTTTATCGACTCACTAGAAGATTCTAGTTCGATTTCAGACATATTTTTTAACGAAATCTCAGCTAAAACAGCGTTATGGTCACTGTCATAAGGGATATTGACTAATTTGTCATTGTCAGTGGAGTTAGTGACATTGAGTCTGGTGTCGATTAAAAAAATATCAATAAACGATCTGCCGCTAGGGAACAAAGGATATTCCGTAGCGTACAGTTTGACTTTATATTCAAAATCATTCGAAGTCATCCAATGATTAAGTGCGATACCTCTGGGATTATTGTTTTCATTCTGCCAGCTGGTATGTTTGGCATTAAGGTCACCTGCTACAATATAATAATGTTTAGTATTACCTAAGTGAAGTTTGGCAAAGAGATTATTTAATTCCGGAATAAATTCTTTTTCGTTACCGCATTTGGCATATGATGCAATTAAAAAGAGTACATTGCTATCAGACATATTAATTTTAATAATAGTGGTTTCTAGGATTGAGGCCGCAGCAATTCAGGGATACAGATCTCTTTTTATTTTGAGCGACTTACCGATCAAAATAGCTGTACCACCGCCAATACCCGAATTTGATCTATCTTGTCTAATTACATTATAGTCTTTAAATTTCAAGACATGACTTTTATTTAATTTTGTTTCGACCAAAAAAATGATGTCTGGATTTTGCATATTTATTAAGTGCATGAGTGAAGCTCTACGTTGATTTTTAATAATGGAGTTAACATTAACCGATATTAATTTAAGTTTCTTAAAATTTAATTTTCCCTCGTTGACGAGAACTGGTGCTTTCAACGTGACCGTTACGCTATGACCGTTGACGTTTGTAAGACTTCTCGATATACCAAAAGACTGTTTTACACATATTGCACGTGCTACAAACTTTTTATTGCTAATGTAAGTCAAATAATAATAAAGTGATTCTAAAATACTATCAAGATATTTTAAAAAAGAAAAGAAGCTGATGTTTCCACTATTACTTTTTTAACTATCTATATAGTCATTTAAACAGTATAGTTTGCAGCTATAAAATTTTTTTAGCTGTGTGCGCTAAATAAATTTATAACAATAGTAAAGAATATTCAAAAAATTAAAAAAAAATATATGTCAACAGTACACGGTGTTCCCAAGCGGTCACCCATCTAAGTACTAACCGTGCCCAATGTTGCTTAACTTCAGTGATCAGACGAGAACTGGTGCTTTCAACGTGGTATGACCGTTGACACTTGCACATTTTCTTGATTTACAGAAAACCTGTTGGACACATATCGCATAGTTATAATATTTTCATTATTCATGTAAAGTAAATAACAATAAAATAGCTATAAAATACCGACAAGATTCTTTAAAAGAGAGAAGAAGCTGATGTTTCTACTATTACTCTTTTAACTATCTAAATAGTCATTTGAACAATATATTGTGCAGATATAAAATTTTTTTAGCTGTATGCGCTAAATAAATTTATAACAATAGTAAAGAATATTCAAAAAATAAAAAAAAAATATATATGCCAACAGTACACGGTGTTCCCAAGCGGAACCATCTAAGTACTAACCATGCCCAATGTTGCTTAACTTCAGTGATCAGACGAGAACTGGTGTTTTTTTTTTAATTTGTTTATTTAGGACCAAAATTACAATTAAATGTATACAATAAACTTAATAAACAAAACTTTTCAATAACAGGTTTAAATAGATCTGAACAAACTCAAACAAGGCATCTCGCAAATACGGTCCATATACAGTTTATAATAAGAAAACGAAGCGGTAATTAATAACAAAATTAACATGCTATAAAAACAGCCAAATAATATTTAAAAAAATGAATATATATTGCCAGAAAAAGGGACCAAGAAAAACTGGCTACGCTATCATATATATGAGATCTTATATATTATAAACAAAAGTAAAAAACATTATACGCAACATAATAGAAATAACCAGTCATAAAATATAAAACACTAGTTATAAAATATAAAATAGACATAAATATATATAAGAAAAAAAAAACAAATACATCAAAAAACAAATTATAAATAAATAAATTAAATAAATAAGGATTTAATTCAGCCACCAATATTTGTCTTTATTTTCCCTGTGTTTATCAGTTATATCTCTATTAGGGATAGACATACTATATTTCCATCTGTATTCAGTATCACTGTTTTCAAGGTTAGGGGTATAGATCAATTTCTTATTGTTATTATGACGGACGATGTGATAAATAACAGGTACATTATCATTGTTTTGAATATATCTCTTAGCGTCTAGAAATAAAAAGGCTTCGGGAGGTACAAACCCTGTAGTTATACATTTTTCGAAATATTTATTATTAAGGTATAACGCACCAAATATTAAACTATTTTGTTTTATATTAGTTACGCTGGAGTAGTGATCTCTAATCAGTTTTATTATAAAATTATCGGTTCTAAGAATATCGGCCATATCATAAATTCTTTTATTGCTTATATATTTTATATAATTGGATTCACTAGATCTGTATTTGCCTAAACACGCTCTAATACATTTTCGTTCGAACAGTCTGATCTTTTCCATAAGAGATGTACTTATATTGTATCATATAACACAGCCATAAGTTAAAATAGGTCTAATTAATAATTGATAACAAATAAGTTTAGTTTTGCTGTGTAAGTGTATATCGCAATTAAGTATAATTTTTTATCGTTTTTTAGGTTTACGCTTATTATTGTTTTCTCTAAGGCTTTATTTGACTTACTAAAGTCAACGATATTAAACTTAATTTTTTTCCTTATCAGTATAGCTGTTCTTCCTCCAGCGTTTTGGTTTCTTCTATTGTTCTGTATACATAGGTAGTCTTTAAAATATATTACGTGTCTGTCGTTAAGTTTCGTTTCATTTAATAGTACTAAGTCTGGTTTAAATTTATCTAACATTATTCTCAGTTCTTCTCTTTTGTAATTACTAATTAGCGAATTAATATATATTCAACGATATGATTTTTAATTTATTTAGTTTCTTTCTATGATCCATTGCTGCCATTTTTTATATAGTCTAAATTTTTGCGGAAATTCCCTCTCTATGGAATTGGTAATCCTATCTATTTTAGCGAAAAACATGGGGAGATGTGCAATTAACTCTTCTATTCTGTTAATTTTTTCTGCAATGTAGTTTTGTATATTATCATTACAGCAGTTAAAATTCATATCAATATTTTCCTTATCTACTTCTCTTTTTTGTGGATGTTTATTAATTTTGTTATCATACTGAATGTGTAAGCTCATACTAATTATGCCTTATCTGTGTAATCAGACTTTTTGTTTAGGTTGGACTTAGCTGTATTAACATATGTAAGATTTTTGCTGACTAATCTATGTGTGAATGTTTTAATCACAGTATTTCTATTTCCTGCATTATTTTAGAATCACCTTATTATTATTTGGGTTACATGAACAATAAAGAGTTTGTAGCACGTGCAATGTGTTAAACAGTCTTTTGGCATATCGAGAAGTCTTACAAACGTCAAATACCACGTTGAAAGCACCAGTCCCGCTTGTGGCGCGTTAGCGTATACTAGTCGTATATAACCTCGAAAGTAGGACAAGGGAAAATTACAGATAGTGAAATAACAAATACAGATAAATTCATCCTGGAGGATAATAAGCAAACAGAGCTCATCGAAGATGAGAAAATAATCGGCTCAATAGTAAATATATATAACAAGACAGGATTTAGTGAGAACATAACCTCACAAGTCAACGAGAATATTTCTGACATAAATAAGAATAAACTAAAATTAACGGATTGGGAGATAAGAAAAGCTCTGTATCAACAGAGCGATACACAGCTGAAAAGAATATTAAATAAATCAGCTAAGAGAAATTTACCAAGGCCAGCACCAGTACTCAGCATGGATACAACAACGAGCAAATCAAAGAAGAAAAAGATAGAAAGCACAGAAGAAGATAAAGAAAACAAGAACCCAAGACAAGACAAGACTATAATTAATTTATTAAGAGAGGAAATCCAAGAACTGAAGAAAGAAAACACAGAATTACAAAAGCTATTGAAATAGTTCATCGAAAAAGAAAGTAAAAGTATTAATAAGGAAGAAAATGAGGAAATGGAATTGGAGGATACAAACGTTGAGATCATTGAAGGGAGCAAAGGAATAGAGAAGAATGGTAATTATGATTGGAGCGAATTAACAAACGAAAAACAAAAGAAGATAAGTGAAAATAAAACAACCGAAAGACACGATAAAGGAAAACAAGAGCAAAAGGATAACTACATTAAAATACGTCCACCTCCAATCAATATATTCGACCAAGATCCTAAAACACTAACCAAATTCATACAAGAAAAATTCAAAGATGCAAAGTTCAACATGAAGAGACTAGGAGAAAGAAAAATAGCACTAAAAGTGGAAACAACGATCCAGCACAAGAGAATTATAGAAGCGCTACAAGAGAAAAACAAGAACTTCTACTCATATACAAGAAAAGAGTAGAGAATGCAATCCTGGTTTCTTAAAGGAATCAGCCCTTCTTACAATGAAGAAGAAATATTAGAATTAAGCAGCCAAATAACAGACGAGGTAACAATCACGAAAGTGAGCAGATTCTCAACGAGAGCAGCAGAAAAGAGGAAACAAGTGCTCCCAATCTTCATGGTCCAGTTAACAGCAGAGAGCAATGCGAGAAGCCTGCTAGGAATCAAAATGATAGCTCACCAAATAATCACCTGGGAGAAATTGAAGAAGAGGGAAATAATACAATGTAAGAGATGCCAAAGGTTAGGTCACGCAGCAGTTAATTGTAATTTACCATGTAGGTGCGTAAAATGTAATAACAAACATGAACCAGGGAATTGTGCTTTAACAAATACAGACAAAGATAAAATATTTTGTGCAAACTGTAACGAATATGGATACCCAGCATCCTACAGAGGCTGCCCTAAAATTAAAGAAATTAGCAATCTAATCAGAAGCAGAACTACTAAGTCTGTAACTACAAATGTAGCGAGTAAAGATTTGAATTATCGTACAGTAAATGAGAATCTCTCATATGCAGATGTATCTAAATTACATACGTTAGTTGATAATGAAGATATTGATACCAAAAATAGTAACTATCAAATAGAAAACAGGAATTATAATGAACAACAAAATAGAATTAAAACAAGCTTTCGAACAACACAGGAAGATTTTAAAAATCATAGAAACAAACGAAATCACACTCAATAAATTAAATAATTTGGAGAAAGTTACTGCACAACTCCCCGAATTAATAATTAAGATTGAGAGAATCGTTAACTTTTTAGAAACTGAATTCCCGAATAAATTCATAGTAAATAAAAATGGCAGAACATACACATAACATAAGAATAGATAAATTAAAAATAGTCTCACTCAATGTGAACTCACTAGTCAGTAACTATAAAAGGGAGGAATTAAGACTTTTATTAGATAAATACAAACTTGACTTAGTCCTACTGAGCGAAACGAAACTTAATGATAATCACAGAGTATTTTACAAGAATTACAACTGCATATTTAACAATAGAATAAGTCAAAATAGAGCGGGAGGTACAGCGCTATTAATACGTAATAACATCAAGTATGACAAGGTCAATCTAACCAATTCAAGTAAGGCAATAGAAAAAACGATAGTACGAATTAACTTAAGCAACAATTATAAATTATTTATAGCAGCAATATACTCAATCCGAGGCAATAACAAGCATTTTATACCCGAATTAAATAATATATTCAAAGAACTCAAACTCAATGAGCTTAATAATTATTATATTTTAGCAGGCGACTTTAATGCAAGACACACATCATGGAAAAACGAAAACAATAACGATAGAGATAATGCATTGCACAATTGGATTGGAGAGAATGACATTGAATATAAATTACAACATTATAACTCAAAATATCCGTCTTTCCCAAGCAAGGGAACATATTTCGACCTAACGCTGATAGATACTAGAATTAAGATAATTGATCTTATCGAGGGTGAACTGCGTACTATTTCCTGTGAAAGCGACCACGAAGCATTAATTTTTGAAGTAAAGTTAGATGACCAAAGTTTCCTACTAGAAGAAAAGAGGAATAAACATAAATATAACTTTGATAAAGCAGATTGGAAAAAATATCAAAATAAATTAATAAAGAACTGGAAAGAAAACATACTATCCAACTGTAACTTGAGTAGAAATATGATTGATAATTATCTAGACATCCTCTCTAACCAAATTTCACAGGCAATGGATGCAGCGATATCTAAAATAAAAGAAAGAAATTCAACAGATTATTTATCAACTTATATTAATGAAAATATAAAAAAACTTAGAAAAGAAAACAGAAAAATACTTACCAAAATACATAGAATGAACAGAAATCCGAATAAAAATAGTAATGAACTACAACAACTGAAACAAAGAAGCAAAGAGTTAAATATTAAAAAAAAAATCGAATTTACTAGATCGGTCAGTAGCTACTGGGAAAACAGAGTAAAAAAAATTAGTCACAAAAATCCAAGAACAATGTTTTCTGAAATCAATAAATTATTTAGAAAAAAAGAACCTCCAAAGTTACCTGCATTCAAAATAAATAATAACAACCAAGATTTACTGAATAAAGCTAAAATCGACAAGACCACTTTAAATTCTGATAGCACAGGAAACCTTATAATAACAGAAGAGAAACAAAAATTGAATCTAATAGCAGTACATTTTGCAAAAGTAAATTCACAAAACGATAAGCTAGGTAATCCAAGATTCAATGATTACGTTGAAGGAAAAGTTCATGAAATGAAATCAGACTATTCATCGCAATTAGAGAACGAAATTCCGCTGTGCACATTCAACGACGCCAACAGAGCTAGTAATCCCTCGGCCAAAGACAGCAGGATAAATATATTTGCATCACATGAAGCAGTAAATACTAAATTAAAAAAAGTAAATAATAAAAGGTCGGTAGGTGACGATGGAATTCCGAATATAGCACTGAAAAATCTCCCTAAAATAATAACGTATCAATACACAATAATATTTAACAACATGATAAATATAGGATACTTTCCAAATAAATGGAAAAAAGCTAAAGTCATCCCAATACTAAAAAAAAGGCAAAGATCACTCCAATCCTACTAGCTACAGACCGATTAGTTTACTATCAAATATAGGTAAAATCTATGAAAAAATAATCAATGACTTACTTACGAAGAAATGTAAAGAGTTAGAGATCATCCCTGAGAGCCAATATGGTTTCAGACAGAGCCATTCAACGACACATGCGATAAATAAAATAGTCTTAGACATAAACTGGAATCTAAATAATAAAAAATGCTTAGGAGCATGCCTAGTTGATCTAGAAAAAGCTTTTGATACTGTGTGGCTCGACCGGCTGCTCTTTAAACTGAAAGACAAAAAAATACCAGACCACTTAATTAAACTAGTATGGAACATGACCACAAATAGATCTTTCACAGTAGTTAGCGGTGGAGAGACATCAGGTCAAAATCATAAAATTTTAAATGGACTGCAACAGGGAACTATAAACTCACTAATACTGTTTAGCATCTCCACCTCAGACATATTACACCTCTACGGGCCGATAAACACGGACTGTACACTGTTGGCTTTTGCAGACGATTTAATAATATACTACGCTGACAAGAAACCGCTAAAAGTACAAAAGAAACTGGAAAGCGTGGTACAAAAAGTTTTCAATTACTACAATGCATGGAAATTGAAAGTCAACACAAATAAGTGTGAAAGTATACTTTTTAGACAATCTACAAGAATAGCTAGAGAGTCAGTTAGAAAAAATTACAAAAATTTTTGTATTAAAACCTCGAAAGACAGTGAGATTATTGCAAAGAAAAAGACTGTAAAATATCTAGGCATTAATTTAGATGAGAGATGTCTATTGAATGAACACATAGAGATCCAACTAAATAAAGCTAAAATAGCACTGAAAGCGTGCGGCAAACTCTTTTATAATAGAAACGTAAATAGTAAAGTAAAATTAATATCATACCAATTACTTATAAGATCAATTATAACCTACGCATGTGCTATATGGTACAATATGAGTGCGTCTATGATGGAAAAACTTAGAATTTTCGAAAGAAAATGTCTGAGATTATGCCTAGGTGTAAGCAGATCTAAAGAATCCAACTATACGAAATACGTAAGAAATTCTAATATATACGAATTGGCAAACATTTCAAGAATTGATAACTTCATACTAAATCTCACCAGAAACTACTTTGCTACATTACCATGGATAAAGAATAGTCTAATTTTTCCCATAGCCTACCCAGATCCTAATTACATTGAGCAAACTCGCATTTCAGGCTACATCCCTCCAGAAGCATTCACCTACTTAGATCAAAAAGGTTATATACAAGACGTAAATAAAATACCTACCATATATCACATGCCAAGGAACAAATTGAATAAAAAACTATTATATGAACCCATTATTTGTGCAATAAATAAAAATCGTCTAAGATATGATATAAATAAATATACCAATGAGAAATTATAAAGATAATTATACAAATAATAAAGAAAAATATTGGTGGTTGTTTAAATCAAGTGCAATTGATAGAATATAAGTATAGAAATAACATTCTTACCGCAATATAAGCATTCACCCATCCTTCATTCATCAGCTTCATTGTAAATAGCTCATCAACTCATCACCCATCATTCCTCATAACAAATTCATTTTCAATCATCTCATTTAACTTAGAAAATAAGAATATATTACCAGCGTTTTTTACTTAAGTCGTTTTTCACTGGAAACATAAATAGATTAGTCATATTAATGTAAATAGTAAATAATCATAAATCTAAGTATAAAAATAAGTACCTCCGTAAGTTAACGACTAGCTGCGAGAGCCTGTATGGCCGTCAGTCTAATAATATGTTATAAGAATGAGCCTTTGGTTTATTGGGCTCAAAACATTAATAATGTACTTAACGACATAATAAACCTGTTCAAAACAAAAAAAAAAACGTTGAAAGCACCAGTTCTCGTCTGATCACTGAAGTTAAGCAACATTGGGCACGGTTAGTACTTACATGGGTGACCGCTTGGGAACACCGTGTACTGTTGGCATATATTTTTTTTTAATTTTTTGAATATCCTTTACTATTGTTATAAATTTTTAGCGCACACAGATAAAAAGTTTTTATAGCTACATACTATATTGTTCAAATGACTATTTAGATAGTTGTTTCGAACGGCCCGAGGGTGGAGAGCGGCCGGTTCGTTATGCGGGATGCGGATTGATGTCCGCTCGCCGTGTGGAGACCGCGGTCTTCGTCGCTAGCAGTCCGCTATCCAGTGGCCCCGTAAGATGACGTGGGGTGCAAGTGATTCGCGACGTTATTCGGCGACGGGAGTCTTTGGCTCCGTGTTTTGTATATGCCGCGTCTCTGGCAGCGTCTAAGTCCCGTGCGGGCGTGAAGGCGAGCTCGGCTCGCGTGTATATGCTGCGTCCCTGGCAGCGACTACGTCCTGTGCGGACGTGAAGGCGAGTACTGCTCGCGTGGATATGCTGAGTCCCTGGCAGCGACTACGTCCTGTGCGGACGTGAAGGCGAGTACTGCTCGCGTGTATATGCTGCGTCCCTGGCAGCGACTGAGTCCTGTGCGGACGTGAAGGCGAGTACTGCTCGCGTGTATATGCTGCGTCCCTGGCAGCGGCTAAGTCCTTGATGACAAGGACGACTCGCGCGGAGTCGTGATCCCAACAGTAGGTTCTGTCGGCGATAATATTCAGTATGCGCAATACTAAGATGTCGCGAAGAGAGACGTCCACCGCAGTGGAGATGTCAAGGTAATCCGATATGGTCGCGCGAAGCCTTCTCTCAATCCTCGATCGTATTGAGAAAATTGGAGATCCGTGGAGTTACCGTACACTTCGTAACATCGGTGTCAACGTGTCCTCGGACACTCTAGAGACATTAGCCCAACGTGCAAGCGCACTCTAAAGGGCTGCGGAAGCTTGTGTAGAGTCACCGAAGACCTAACCACAATGCCAACGTGTCTACGACACTCTTAAGGCAGTAAAGTTCAAGGCAGATATGCCAACGTATACCTCAAGCGAGGCAAGAACCCAACGTGCTGATGCACTCAAAAAGGCGATATGAAGCTAGATATAGTGCAAAAGAATACCTCAGCGAGGCAGTGACCTGATGTGCAATAGTAGTCAAAAGGCCTAGAGTCGGCGTCCGCGGCGTCTTATATAGGCGCCGCACCGAAATTTAACCGCGAGTAACAGCCCCGGCTCGGCGCGCTGCCGCGTAGCGGCGGTGGGGTGAAGACGGCGAGCGGTAGTCGCCCGCGCGCGGAACGCGCCTGGTGCACGGCCGCTTACCGCCCGCGAGGGCGTCCGTGCGGACGACAGCTCCCGTACGGAACAATAGTTAAAAAGTAATAGTAGAAACATTAGCTTTTTTTTTCTTTTAAAATATCTTGATAGTATTTTAGAATCACCTTATTATTATTTGAGTTACATGAGCAATAAAAAATTTATAGCACGTGCAATGTGTTAAACAGTCTTTTGGCATATCGAGAAGTCTTACAAACGTCAACGGTCATACCACGTTGAAAGCACCAGTTCTCGTCTGATCACTGAAGTTAAGCAACATTGGGCACGGTTAGTACTTAGATGGGTGACCGCTTGGGAACACCGTGTACTGTTGGCATATATTTTTTTTTTATTTTTTGAATATCCTTTACTATTGTTATAAATTTTTAGCACACACAGCTAAAAAGTTTTTATAGCTACATACTATATTGTTCAAATGACTATTTAGATAGTTAAAAAGTAATAGTAGAAACATTAGCTTCTTTTTTCTTTTAAAATATCTTGATAGTATTTTAGAATCACCTTATTATTATTTGAGTTACATGAGCAATAAAAAGTTTGTAGCACGTGCAATGTGTTAAACAGTCTTTTGGCATATCGAGAAGTCTTACAAACGTCAACGGTCATACCACGTTGAAAGCACCAGTTCTCGTCTGATCACTGAAGTTAAGCAACATTGGGCACGGTTAGTACTTAGATGGGTGACCGCTTGGGAACACCGTGTACTGTTGGCATATATTTTTTGTAAATATTTTGAATATCCTTTACTATTGTTATAAATTTTTAGCGCACACAGCTAAAAAGTTTTTATAGCTACATACTATATTGTTCAAATGACTATTTAGATAGTTAAAAAGTAATAGTAGAAACATTAGCTTCTTTTTTCTTTTAAAATATCTTGATAGTATTTTAGAATCACCTTATTATTATTTGAGTTACATGAGCAATAAAAAGTTTGTAGCACGTGCTATGTGTTAAACAGTCTTTTGGCATATCGAGAAGTCTTACAAACGTCAACGGTCATACCACGTTGAAAGCACCAGTTCTCGTCTGATCACTGAAGTTAAGCAACATTGGGCACGGTTAGTACTTAGATGGGTGACCGCTTGGGAACACCGTGTACTGTTGGCATATTTTTTTTTTATTTTTTGAATATACTTTACTATTGTTATAAATTTTTAGCGCACACAGCTAAAAAGTTTTTATAGCTACATACTATATTGTTCAAATGACTATTTAGATAGTTAAAAAGTAATAGTAGAAAGATTAGCTTCTTTTTTCTTTTAAAATATTTTGATAGTATTTTAGAATCACCTTATTATTATTTGAGTTACATGAGCAATAAAAAATTTATAGCACGTGCAATGTATTAAACAGTCTTTTGGCATATCGAGAAGTCTTACAAACGTCAACGGTCATACCACGTTGAAAGCACCAGTTCTCGTCTGATCACTGAAGTTAAGCAACATTGGGCACGGTTAGTACTTAGATGGGTGACCGCTTGGGAACACCGTGTACTGTTGGCATATATTTTTTTTTTATTTTTTGAATATCCTTTACTATTGTTATAAATTTTTAGCACACACAGCTAAAAAGTTTTTATAGCTACATACTATATTGTTCAAATGACTATTTAGATAGTTAAAAAGTAATAGTAGAAACATTAGCTTCTTTTTTCTTTTAAAATATCTTGATAGTATTTTAGAATCACCTTATTATTATTTGAGTTACATGAGCAATAAAAAATTTATAGCACGTGCAATGTATTAAACAGTCTTTTGGCATATCGAGAAGTCTTACAAACGTCAACGGTCATACCACGTTGAAAGCACCATGAGTCCAATAAACAAAACAACTCAATCCTTATATCTAGTGGTTAGTAGACTGACGGCTCGTTGAGCACTCGCAGCTAATATTTATCCTATTTTGACGAATTTTTAAACTTAACTCGAATTGAGATTCTCCGGGGAGGTTTATGAGTAAACATGAGTGTGACTAGCCAGTGAAAAAACTTAAACGACGTATGATAAAAAAAAACACTGGTTAAATAACTGTTATAACTACGGAAGACTATAAATTATTACTAAAACTAGGGATTAGAATACTGATGAAAAATGAGTTGCTAAAATGAACTATTTACAATGATTCTAATGAACGATGTACAATATAATAAAATATA